TGTCATAAAAGCTGTAGACATAGCAGAATATTCATTTAATTTCAAATATGACATTGGTAATATGCAATTAGCAAGAGCTTATGGCATTGTGTGCGATGACTGTTAAAAATTTATGCCGATTCTGCTAATTGGATACATAAATGCAGTTGCTATGGTAACTCAACCGTAAATCTACAATGTCAAAGCTTTACAGTCGTAAATTTATTTTAAATTTTTACAATTACATAATTAAACATATTTTATACGAATTATATGCTTGCTATTAAATTAATTATCTTTAATTATAAATATAAAATATTGATCCTTTCTCAATGAATTGCGATTATCAAATCCGTCGGAAAAAAGAGCATTTATTTATAGGATGGCTCATCTTATAGGCAGAATGTTTGATGCAGCAGATAGGTGCAATAACTTGGTTATTGTTTTTATTATTAAAGAACACTATTTTCTTTTATTTAGTTTTATCATATTGTATTTTTCTTTTATATCATACTTTCACTTCAATATATTAATTATTTTCCGCATCTTTATTTTCTTTTTCAACATGTGAAAGGGAATATTCAAATCCAGCCTGTTTAAATATCGAATACCTACTATAGAATGAATCAGAGTCGTAAAATTTATAAAAGATTACTTTTAATTAATATACTTCTGACGCACTATAAATTTCGAAACATCATTATTGATAAATTTTCAATAATATTTTATAATTCATAGTTATAATTATAATGATCACCACTAAAAACAAATAAATTTTAATAACGTCAGTGACGTCCTAGCTGTCATATAACAAAACTAAATTCGTTCTTGAAATTTCACTGTGCAACACTTCAAAAATCTTAAAGGGTATGGGCGTGTTTCCATACAGAATTGGCCCCACCCTAGTATTTAAATAATTTTGATGTCATTTTATAGGTATTTTCGAGAAAATCCGATATACCAAATTTCAAATCCGTAGCTCATCATTTGGCCGAGATATCATAGAAAATGTGTGAAAGTGGCCCCTTTTTTCAAAGTCGTTTTTTGTCGCAACTATGAAAGATATCGACAAAAAAATAACTGGACTCTATTCACATCGATGTGTACAATATTATTGATAACAAATATTGTTTAATAATTATTTTTTAGTGCATGAAAAAGTGAAAATAATTTTTTGTTTTAAATTTTCCGGTAGTGCGGTTGTTTGGACTAATTTTTAATTAGCATCATTAGAAAGGATATTGAATTTTCTTTTAGTGGTGCAAATTTTGTTTTATTTCATGTGGTAGAACACATTCAAAATAGGAAAACCTGAGCAAGTACACGTTCGCGCTCATCATCGCAATGACTAGCAACAGCATTGCTCGCCGCGCATCGTGATAAATTAAAAACATTCTGAAAAATACAAGATATTATATATGTTTAATACTAACTATATTATTTAATTAAATATATATTATTTATGTATGCACAAGTATATTATTATTTAATCATATTAATAATAATTATTAATTATTACCTAAGAATATTATTAATGATAATTCAGGATTAATTATTAATTATTAATTATCACTAAATAAATAAAAAAATAAATTGATAAAAAAATACATAATATAGTATATCGGTATATGATTTCTATTCATGCTACAGCAAGTATAGAAATGCAAGTATACTAAGTTAGTCTGAAAATATTTAAATAATATCTTGAAGTTTTTTTTTAAATTAACATAATATATAAAAATATATTGAATAGAATATCTCTACCTATAAATTACTCATAATAATTGTATAAACTACAATATATGTGCATAATCCTTAATTAAAACGAAATTTCGATTCGAAACGAAATCGAAACGAAAGTTTTCGATAATTATTAAATAAATAATGATTTTTTTTTTAATTTTTGTGTGGTGTTTGGGAACTCTACACTTTTGTACCAGATTTTGATTTTGCACTTTTCTTATATTTTAGTGGCAATTAATTGATTAGTGTATAATTAGTTATTACCATAATACAATTAATAATGCCGCGAAATCGTTTTAATTAAGGATGATACCCAATAGTACAGTAGTCAACAATGTTATGAGTATTTTAGGTAGAGATATTCTATTCAATATATTTTATTATATATTTAATTTAAAAAAAAAACTTCAAGATATTTGAAATATTTTCAGACTAACTTAGTATACTTGCATTTCTATACATTGCGGTGTAGCATGAATAGAAATCATATACCGCGATTATACTATTATTGTATATTTTTATCAATTTATTTTTTATTTATTAGTGATAATTAATAATTAATAATGAATTAATAATTAATAATGAATTAATAATTAATAATAATTATTAGGTAATAATTAATAAATTAATTATAAAGATGATTAAAATATAATATACTTGTGCAATACATAAATAATATATATTTAATTAAATAAAAATATAGTTATTATTATACATATATAATAATCTTGTATTTTATTTAAAATGTTTTAATTTATCACGATGCGCGGCGAGCAATGCTGTTTGCTAGTCATTGCGAATGAGAGACGACTTACACGGGTTCTATATGAGCGCGAACGTGTGTACTTGCTCAGGTTTTCCTATTTTTGAATGTGTTCTACCACATGAAATAAAACAAAATTTTTGCACACTAAAAGGATATTCAATATCCTTTCTAATGATGCTAATTAAAAA